CCGCCCCGCCCCGCCCCGCCCCGCCGGCGGCCGTTGGGCCGTTAGCCGGAGCGGCCGTTGGGCGCCCGGCGGGGGAGGTTATGGGGTCCCGCGGGGACTCGCTGCGTCGCGGCGCAGGGGGCACCGGCAGCTGCCTGGCCGCGGGTACCTTGGCACACAGATACCCACCTTGCGTGGCCGCTTGCGAGCCCCTGTCAGGGCACCGCTCAGCACATGCAGTACAGCCCTCYTCAGGCTACCTCACCTAGCAGGCCTAAAYGATTCCCACAGCTTCCCAAAGATTMCCCTTTCCCACCCTATTGCTCTGAACAGMCAAATCCAGCACTCTTTACCCAGCTAATGACTGTCCTTTCACCCCAAAGCTTTGATTGCCACCCCAAATTAACCCAACTAGAACTGACTTCAAGCCAAAGTCCCAGTTGAAAGACAAGCTCATGAAGCAGCCCTTYGAGGAAAATACATCTGTGGGCATGAATACCTCATCCATGCACACAAATATACAGCTTCAGGGGCTAAACAAACACATCTGCAATAACAGATTGATGGAATAGGCAGGTAGACAGATAACGTGGGTGGGTAGATAGATAAAGCAGTGGGCTGATAGGTAGATACCTAAGTCGGCAAATGGACAGAAATGCATACTTATGTATACTACAGTTTTCTCTTTACCTGTGTAAAACTGCATGTGAGCCAGTCCACAAATGAGTAAGTTAATGAAGCAGTGATTTTATTTTGCATGCTGTGCCATTCCAGCTGTTTTACTGTACTTGGAAATTGRTGTAATTTTCTTTGAAACACCCCTGTTCCTCCCAGAAAAACACAAGAACTGGGAGAAGCCAGATTTCTATACTTATTTTTTTCCAGAGATCCAATAAAATCCACGAAAAGTCAAAGAAACATCATATGGTTGAAGAAGTGGCAAGCAGGCAGCATGCAGATGAAATGTGTTATTACTAGTCTGATAAACTCTTACACCAGCAAATTGTCAGCCCTCACCTCCCTCCATCATACTTTTGCTTGGGTCAGTGGGATTTCTCAGTAATTTTGAAAACCTCAGCTATGACTATTGAACAACTGATCTTTGCTGAGGCTAGTGCGGAGCTAGTGAAGGAATTCAAGTATGAGAATCATGATCCAGATAACTGAGTGAATAAAAGGGTGAGATTTTCTCTCTGCATGGAGACTGTCAATTTGGGAATCTGTTTCTTCCTGAGATTCCCTAGACAATGTGAAACAGCTTCTAGTGCTACACGTACCCTGAGGCTCARCCTCAGATGACCAAAAACACCATCCAGACTTCTAAAGACAGTTTTAGTTCAGAAAAGCCTGACACTGCTTGGCCAGATGAAACCAGTGATGAATGCGGGGCTGGCGGGAGCTCCCTGAACCTACCTCCCTACCATGGCAGCACCAGCCGTCCTGCCGCACTGCGTGGCTCTTGGTCCGGCTCGGCGCTGCACCTGGAACCAGTATCTCACAGGAGGGACACGATAAGCCTGCACGATTCCCAAGTCTTTAGGTAGATCAATTCCCTGCTCATACAGCATCTTCTAAAGCCCCTTAGAGGCTTAGTGCCTAGCCCCCCCGCCTAACCCTTCAGCTGAAGGCTCACGACAAACCTCCTTGGAGTTTGTTTTCAGCCTTGTTTGTTAGCCTCCCTACTTCAGCCTCCGAAGGAGAGCAGCCRTTTCCGTGCCACAATCATGGGGAACGATCTGTACGGCAGGAGGGGGCACGAAGTCGTGCCTTGGCCAAACAGGGACAGCAAACTTTTGTTTATGCATCTGCTCCTCTGGCCGCCAAAAGCTCATTAAAAACAAGACACAAAGAGGCAGCAGAGAAACCGGACAAGAGGCTGGCAGCTCCCGTCACTCCTCCTTCCCTCCCCTGTCCCGCTTGTCACGACTCCCCCACGCTCGCTCGCTCCAGCAGCGCCTCCCGGCTGCCCAGGAAGGCCAGCCAGGACAACTGCAGCAGTGGGAGCAGACAGGCAGCCCTTTGCTTGCTTAATTATTTAAATAACAACCTGGCAGGAGATAAGGGCTGTACTGGAAACATTGATTATGTTCCTCCTTGCTGCTGCAGTTGGGCAGGTTTGTAAATGGTCCCTGGCAGTCAAAGGTGTGTGACTCCTCTGTGAAACTCCTTCATTTAGAAGAGAGCGCTGCTAGCACCATTACTTTTAATATTATTCCCATTTTCTCCTGTGCTAGTACCTGCAAGAGCAGCAGAGAGGAAACAGGCTTGCCCCCATCATGCATGAACACCCACACATGTTCACTGCCTGGGGAGGAAAGCAGCAGATTCCCCYGCAGGAGCGAGGGCTGCTTGTGGGGAAACACAGCTGCCGTGAAACCCAGCYTTCCCTCTGAGCAAAATACCTCCATATTTACCGAAGATAAAAAGGCCKTGCTGGATCACTGAGATACAGCTGCTGCATTAATGCTGGACGAACCCCGTGAAAGCCAAGCGGGTAGGCTGCAAAGTGCCTGGCAGAACATCTGGGAGGCAGCAGCCGGCGGGCTGGCTGGTTGGCGGGCACACTCGCATGCCACGGTCCACGCTGCAAGGGCCTYGGGCACCTGAGCATGTGGTGCGTGTGGCTAGGAGCTGGGAGCCTTCTTGGGGAAGCTAAAAAAATAGGATTATCTTCTTCAAGGAGCATTTTGGGTGGTTTAACACAGTTTGTACCCAACTGTAATTTTCTGCAAGCTACCTAGTGTGGAAGTCACCCACTGTGGATACCACCACGGCCCCCGGAGCCACACAGGTTGGCTTTATTTTAGTTCTCCTTAGATATGTTTTACTGGTCCCCCTATGSTGGTAAACACTGCCAAGGTACACAKAGAAGTACACCTGAGATCCGGCACCAGGAAGAAAACAGGATGGCAGTCATTGCATACCAAGTGCCATCGCTTTTCATACAGATCGCATGCAGAAGCACGCTCTGCATCTCACCGTGTCTGCAGGATCCAGAAAGTCTGCTGGTTTGCAGGTGGCATTGCAAACACTGTATTCAGTGGACAAAAATTATAGCTCAAGACAGAGTTAAAATGTCTGTTCTAGATGAAAACAGGCCTGGAAAGAGGCGTGAGAAAGCATAAGCCYACTTATTTACAGATAGAGTTGCCTAAGGCAGAGTATGCCAGCAGTGTTAACACTTTTGCTGGAACCCGTGAAGATGTCACTGGGAAGGGGTGTGAGTTCTTGCATGTGTGGACATCCCCAGAAGAGCTGTATTCTAGCTAGCTCGGATATCGATGGTCACAAAATTGGAAGAGCAAGTTTCATGCTGTCAAGGCCAGGATCAGTCTAACTTGCCTTGGATATGTCGCTTCACTCCTACATGCCCAGTTGTAGTTGGAGGCCCATGGAATTTTAGGAACACCCCTTTGAAAAATTTATTTCTTTCTCTGTTTATTTGCTTGCTCCCTTCACATCCTAAACTTCCACCTCAATTTTCTGAGCTGTGATAACTGTTCATGCTAGGACATGAGCCCTTCCTTCGTCAGGTCTACACACCATCCACGCGTCTATTTTCCCTGCCAGGCTGGGTTACCCACTAAGCACACAACTCTATAACTTTATGGAGAAGAGACAAGTGTCTTTACTTCTGTATGACTTTTGTAGCTTTGTGGTCCCTGGTAATTTCTCTTGCACTTGGCGCAGGAAGCAGCTCCGAAGCACAACTCTGAGCAGGAAGCAACAGGAAGGCAATTAGGTAATTCAGCATCTGGGCCCCTGGAAGTTGGTCAGTCAGGTTAATGGATGGGGGAACTGGAGACAGGGGCAAGCTACTGATTTTTATATTGAGGTAAGTGGCCTGCACTTTTTTGCACCTTTTTCTGCTTGGCAGAGGGAGCCCCAAAGTCAATAGGTATGTGGAGAAAAGTCTGAAACCTGCTAGAGAAGGAAAAAGATTTGTTTGGTTTGGTTTTGTTTTCAGTAGCTCACAGGTTCAGGACACTCTCACTGCTTCCCCTCCTATGAAGAGATCTGCATCTCACAAAAGTATCCTCGCCTCCATGATGCAGGAATGGAAAGCAGTATCCTCTGTTGCTTTGTCAGCATAGCTACATTTTTATGCTGATTCCCTTAATATTCACTGAGGGACAAAGAGTGCAAGGGAGCAAACATGACTCTGCTCAGAAATAGGGTTCCGCAGGATTCTGGACCCTATATCGGTGAATATTTAAGTACAGGCCTGAAGCCAGGCCTTCCACATTCTCAAATCATACCAAAGTAGGAGTGGAATAAAGCATGAAAGAAATCCCTTTCTTCCTCTCAAAAGTTAATAATGTCCAGATGATTAATCCCAATTAAGGTGAGTTATGCAAAACTGATCAGAATAATAAGTAAGAAAAGCAAAAGAACACTTTACAGGCAAGTTCTTTGGARCTGGCAATTTTTGCTGTATTTATCAAATGGGAAACCACTAGAAGTTATCTCTGAAAACTCATGGAGTCCCATCTGAGTCCTAGATAACAGGTGACAGGTAAATGTACCATTTATTTATTTTTAGAAAGGGGAACAGGATGACCCAAGGAATTCTAGAGCATACAAGCACACAGGCTAATCCCAAAGCCTAGACAAATTTAGCTTATTTATAACAAGTTTGTAAGAATATAAAGGATAATAGAAAGATTTTTTAAATCAATGAAATGGAACAATTCTGAAGAAATTGTGTCAAACTTAATTACTTTTGTTTTTTTTTTTAAGCAGATAATTTCCTCTGTGGATAGGCAGTGTTGTGGGATAAAAGAAATATATTTGTATTGTATGAAGTCTTGAGACTGATATGCACAAGATCTGACACTTTCCTAAGCCAACTAGATAAAGAGGTCACGATCAAAGTCCAAC